TCCTGACTGTCAGGGTCACCAGCGTGATTATTTGAATAATTGTAACTGTCAGTTTAGCACTGAGTAGTTACCGTTTTGAACAATAAGCACATCATTAGAAGGTTGTGGTACTCTACGCTCTTGTGCGTAAGAAAATCAGCCTTTTGTCTTACTTGAAACCTTTGTAATGTGCTAATTTTGCTTTAAAGTGTACATGTAGCACGAGATGCCCCCTACTGCCTCCTTGCCAGTATAGTAGATGCATGAGCAAGCAGAAACCCTGAAATGACACCCAGGATTTTAAGGCAGATTTATTTAACATGGGGCAGGCACTGACAGTGAATCAGTTTTTCCTCAGAGTATCAGGCCCCAATCTCTAGTGGTCTAGGGCTTATATGACATAAGCAAGCAGGAAGTACAGAGGCAGAACGGGTTGTCAGTTGGGGATTGGTTCTTGTCAACTGGGGATGCATCTTAGTGACCAGCAATGCATTACAGTGACCAGCCATTTCTAAGAAACAAAAGTTACAGAAACTGTAACCGGAACTGTTATTTAGGCAACTAACAAAGTAAAATGTATAGAGTGGGGAACACGTCTTCTGCTACATACAGATGCAGTTTTCATTTTCTAACTTTTAATATGTATTTTAAGGATTCAAAGGATTAAGTGCCTTTGTTTAATTCAGCTTTTGTTAACTTTAATATTTTAAAGATATGAGAAGCCAGATGTAGTAGTGCACAGCTGTAATCCCAGTACTTAGGAGGCTGAGACAGGAGAATCTGTGAGTTCAAGACTTGCCTGGACTACATAGTCCAACCAGCCCAGCCTGAACTACATAGCATGACCCTATCTCACAAAAACAAAACAAATTAAAAATAAATAAATAAATAAAAAACAGCAAAAGATGTGAGAAACTAGTAAAGGACAACTGGAATATGTGAAGAACACTGATGCAATTGTTTAGCGTCTGCTTTAGTACAATGCTATGTAGAACAATCTGTTACAATCAGCAGTTTGTTAATGCTAATAATTATGAGTTTTAAAGGCATTATGAGTATAAGATTATTAGATATATTTACTGTTAAGTAGCTCGTTTC